ATCATCCGCGGTCCGGTGCTGGCGCTGTTGTTCTGTTTCAGCAATCTCACAACTGTTCGTCTGACAACGCCTGCTGGAATCGACATCGACGACACGACAGCAGGAGATATCGCGCGCGCATGGCCCAAGATTCGATCGCTTGAATTGGGGTCGTGCACGGATGCGCACCACCCAAGCAGCATGACTCTTCGCGGTCTTCGCGCGTTCGCGACGTATTGCGAAAACCTGACTTATCTCGGAATCACCCTCGATGCGTCCACGGTCCCGCCCTTCGACAACTCGCCGGCGACACGCATCTCGCAACTCCGACTCCGCTCGTTGGACGTCGCTGCATCGCCGATTGCCGACTCCACTGCCGTTTCGCGGTTTGTGTCTGGGCTGTTCCCTGGCCTCGAGACTATCACCACGCTGAACGAGTGGAATTGGGTGGACCCTAACGATGAGGATGATACCCCGCAAATGGCCACCGCGCGTGCCCACTATCGCAAGTGGAAGCAGGTCGAGACACTGATTCCTATCATTGCTGCTATCCGTACAGAGGAGCAACACTGGGCTCAAATGGAACGTGAATAGGATATTCCCGGGATCGAGAGTCGTTGGCTGTTATCTATGGCAACAGGGACTGGACAGCTCAACTTTTGATCACCGGACGGTCAATGACTGGTGATAAGCGACCGAATTTTGACATCCATTGCAGCAGGACCCCAGAACACCGCTCAAAATTACAAAATACCATTCATCCTCCACACTTTCAATTTTGTTACGCGTTGAATCTTGGGCTTTATTTACAGCTACATTCCTGGGTAACTAATGTAGGAAGAGGTATGTGGCGGCGTGCGAGTGCAGATCAGTCATTCCATTCTTGTTCAAAAACAAGATAATGCGGGGCGGCCTCAACCTGCTGGGGTGCTTGCAAGAAGGGCGACGATGGTAACGGTGCGGTAGCCATGGAAAGTTGGGCGGAGGCGTCCGGTGGGGGGGGTGGGGTGCCTACATATGTGAAGACCTCAAAACAATTGGCGCCACGGCCGAGTCGGCAAAATACCGTGCCCGTGCCCTCAATATCGCTGGGGTCGTTGGAGGTATGGGCGTAGGTGTGGGAAGAGGCTGGCGTTGCCCACGTCGGTGCCTGTCGAGCCCATTGTGCACGGGTGGGCTGGGTGAGTGGCCCCGAATGCGGGTGGGAGTGGGCTTGGGCGACGTCGTCGCGCTCGTTGTGCCGCTGGCACGCTGCTGGTGTGATTAGTCGTGTCGCCCATGCTTGCGCTGGTTCCTGTGCGGTCAGTGTATCCGCGCCCCGTATTATACGCCCATATATCCCTCGATAAATAATGGGTCGACGGGGAACGCAGCAGCACGAGCGGGGACATAACGTGCACCGTGGAGTACTACTCCTTATGCGCTCATGCACCGATTCCCCGCCTTGAGGCGACGGTATGCACGAGGAAGCTTCGAGCGCGAGAGCACGAAGAGGGGAGAGTTGCGGGGAGAACAGGAAAAAGATATTGTGAGACGAGGAGACACACCACGAGTCGCGCAGGCCGGGAGCATGTATCTCCCTCATCCTCTCCCCTCTATGGATCCGTCTTCTGCCACTCCCTGAGGCCACTTTCTATATCCTGTTTCTGCGTTATGGATCGCTTGTTCCGATATTCATGGCGGGTGATAGCTCAAAAAAGCGTCGTGGGAATCATCGTCGATACATTGAGGCGATTGAGAGCGAAAGGCGGCCCTTGAAACGCGCTTTGGGATGGAGTTTGGAGTGAGGAAGGACGCTGCCAGAAGGGACACCATAACGGGCGATTACGCGGTTAACATCGGATGAGAGTGGAGGCGGATAGTCGTCGAGAGGTTTGGATTCGATTTGAGGTTCGATCGAAGCCAAGGGAGTCGAAGAGCGCGGTTTGCAGCGACCGATATAACGGGGGAAGAGAGAGAGATCACGCTGTGACTGCGTGACAAATGGCTGATAGGGGCAGAAACAAACGGAAGTTTCGTCGTTTGGGCTCCTCCCTTCATTTGAACCAATTCTGTTTCGATGAGAAGTATTATACTTGTCCCTAGACTCATCTCCCGCAGAAAGTGTCAAAAATATTTCCGTCAATCATCAGCCATTTCAAAGTTCAACCGCGCGAGGGCTCAGAACACCTCAACAGGATACTTGGACCATGCAGAACAAGTGAATAGACCACTCCGATTCTTTCCATGTTCAAAGAAACGAAAAATCTTGACAAAAACTCTCAGCGACTTTCAAAATTTGGCCCCGGTGAGGACCAAGGATCTTGAATATCAACGTTCTAGCACTGTGGGGGTCGAAACATTACTGAGTTTTTGCAGTAAGAGGGTTTGGAAAGTTCTTTTCAGAAAAAGGTGCAGTTCAGTAGCACCTGCCTAGTTCGGCCTTGAAATTTAGCCAGTGTTCGACTCGGTCAATCGTCGAGTACAAATTTTCTGAATGGCGTGTAAGCCATGTCCAGGAGCTTCAGAAATGGTGCCAGAGTATTGCCTGATCATTTGTGGAGCCTAGGAGCGGCCAAGAGGTGCGGTGAGTGAGATTTTCGTTCCAGACCAAAGCAGGGTGATTGGGTATTTAAGCCCCCTGCGTTGGAATTTTGGGTTGCGGGAGCTGAAAACTCGATAGTATGATTTGAACATGCTTTCTTCATGTGAGAAAAATGGAGTTGCATCGAATTGGCGGGTGCATTGAGGTGGTCCATTCTGACTATCACTTCGAAAATCCACTATAGCGGATCACCAGAGGCATGGATGTCAGTTTTTAAACCACTTATCCCAAGCGTCGGACCCTCCGATTACGCTCGTTGCAAACAAAGGGAAAAATCGCCTAAATTGAGGTCGGTATATTCAAGTATCAGTGATTTCGAATATTGACCATAGCGCGTCATCAGAACCTCGAATGACCATATTTAAAGCACGCAGGAGGAGGGCCTGAGCCCTCCAATTACGCTCATAACAAAAATTAAGAAGAAATACCCACATGAGAAGTCAGATTTTCGTTCGCGATCACCCCAAACCAATTTGGCAGTACGCCGACTGGACTGCATTATCAGGTCAGAGGAACTCGAAAGCCGGAGAATATGGTTTTATTCTGTTTCCTAAATACGATGGGTTACTGAGGACGCACGGAGACTTACATACTGGAATCGAAGAAGCTCTTTTGAAGTGTCCGGAGTGCACAGGGGTAGCTGGGTTCAGACTAAAGCAAACGGAGAACATGTAGTAAGCTTAAAATTTGGTCAGTGCGCTACAGGAGCGATTGGGAATCCAGAGGTTTGGGTAATGAAATTCCGCTAAAACTGAGGCATTAGTTTGATTGGGAGGCGTAAGGGCTAAGCTCGCGGTTACCGAAGATTGATACTAGATGGTAGATGAGCCTGAGAGAAAGCGCTGAGTGCAGGTGGAAGCCCAGCGCGCCATTATTGATGTGGATGCGAACAGCAGCAGAACACGAAGGATGAGGATGGATCGTCACGAGTATTGCGACGGCAGAACTGGACGCATAAGAAGTGAGTGCATGAGGAGCGGGAGCGCTGAGGTAGGCCGACGACGGCCAGGGCGGGAATTGTCAACCGGTCGGGATTCCGAGAATTGGATCATTTGGGTCCTCCGACCAGAATTTGGGCATCTTCAGAGGGTGGAAGGTATGCATAGGTCCCATAGAATAAATGAGACAACAGTAATGGACAGGCGAAGGCGGCGGAGCTGGAGGAATTAGAAATTTGCTGCAGGCCTATTTTTGATGCCCAAAGCGGAAAGATGTTGTGATGCGGACTGCGGTTCCGTGAGATGTCTGACCAGTGAATTGGTTTCAGGCAAGTACACGAAGGTGATTCGTCCTCTAGAGGGAAATTACTCTGTCGCGGAGAAACGTGGCTACTCGTACGCTACGGAAGGTTTATATAATTGTGGTGGTGGTGGTGAGATGGTACAATCCGTTTCCGTGAGGATTAGGATGTGAGCGCTAGGTTCCTCGAGGTTTTTAGTTCCTCGTTGGGGGCTAGCCTTCCAGGAAAGCCGCGGTTGGAGGTCGCTCTACACTTGCGCGAAGGAATAGAGCTTTGCAATGTGAGCGTCGATCCGAGCCGGGAGACCTGGGTGATGTGGGGGTTTCTCTTTTCTCCCTGCCTCGTATTACTCGGGCAAGTAGTGTCTTCAAAACGTGGGTTTTAACACAGCGCGAGCGGGCTATAGCTCTTTTCCTCCGTAGCCCGTTTTCTTTCTGTGCTTGTGTGAACGCGCAACGGATGAGGTTCTGTGACGAGCGTGGCGAAGTTGTGTCTCGAATGAAATGGTGGAGTGGTTATAATCTTCACGGATAAGCCTTCCGTGAAGATGGGGAGTGGTGCCCTGCGCACGGATCTGCGTTTGAGCCTCCAATACAACAGTTGCACGCAGCTAAGTAGGGGCTGCTGGCTGTTTAGAAGTACGCGCTTTTCATCGACTGCGCCGTGACCAACACCTTTGTATTCAACAATTTCCTCCCGACCCGTTTTTACGGAGTCGAAGGGACCTTTAGAAAGGGTTCCTTGGTGAACCTTCAATCCAAGTGACCTATTTAGCTAGCCCCACGGAGGACGGCGTAGCCTGAGCTAATATGTGTATATGAGAGAGACAACTCCGCCCCGTAAGGCTGGGGGGAGGGTAGCTTAGGTGTGAGCAGTGGGGGATAACAAGATGATTCCTTGGTAAATACATCTGGCTTTTATACGTATTCCCGCCCGATTACCGCACGTGAACTTCTCCGTGAAGCCTCCATTGTATTGTCCTTCCTGTGGATCCTCACATGCCCTCCGCGAAGTTCGACTCCCATGTTCTCCGTTAAGTTGACACACACGCCTTCCGTTAGGCTCGACGGAAACCTGCCCCCACAACCTTTACGTTTGCCCGATCCCGTCGCTTCGCATGTCCCGTAGCGATCCGTAAGTCGTCCGTGAATATGTCCGTGTGGCACTCCTTGATATTTGCTGGTTGTTCGAGGTATAGGCCTGGTGGCGTAACGGTAACGCGCAGTCAACCTCTCCGCGACATTACAATTGCGAGTCCCTCGTTCGATTCGAGGTCAGGCCGTGTTCGCTTTTTCCCACGCTCCGTAGGTGTATTTTTCCGTCACGGAGAGAGCGTGCGCAAGTATTCGACCGTGAGTGATTCCGTGGGTGTCGATTGTTGTTTCATGACTATTTGCAGTATAGGCCCGGTGGCGTAACTGGTAACGCGCGCGTTGTCGGTTTCCTCACAATATTGCATAATTGCGAGTCCCTCGTTCGATTCGAGGTTGGGCCTTTATTTGCAATTTTGCTACCCTTTTTCCGCGAGCGTTCCGTAGTCGTGTTCCGTAGTGCGTGTGTTCCGTTGCAGTGTGTTACCTTTCCGTCCGCGCAGAGAGCGTCCGCCAGGTCAGTTTTCAACCGTGGGAAAAACCTCCGTGACAGCCGTAGCATGCCGTGTAGTCTCTGAGGCTTATCGTGATTTCCTCCGTGAGTCGTTTCGTTACTGATTTCCGCCATGCTTGAGCGTATCACAAAGTGATAGCTCACAACGTGACACGCGAGTGCAATTGGGGGGTCCAGGAAATTTGGCTTTACACTGAGGAGGTTATGCAAGACCCGGGAACCAGCGGAGATCCCAGCGGCGCACGCGCGCAGAGATTTAAACAAATTTGGAAGCCGAGAAAATGGACGGCTTGAGTGGAATTGAGGCAAAATGGGCGTCGGGAGTGCATAGCCAATGTGCTCCTAGTGTTTTGCCTCATGGTACGACCAGCCAGGGCGGGAAAGGAAGCCGGTGGGAGCGAGGGGCCGACAGTAAGTAAAAGAAGCCGGCCGGGCCGAGGGCACTGGCACGCGGTGCTAACAGATGCAAGCACAACCAATTCCCGCCATCAACCAAACGACGCGCCATCAAGTCGAGAGCGCCACCATCGCCGCCAAGCGCATGCGCCCATGACAGTGTTTGTCGTGTCTGCAAAGCTACGCGTGCCGTGTTTGTGTGGTCAAGTTTATTTCGGATGAGCTTGCGTTACGTTACCTTCTCTCACCACTTGCTCCATCAGACTTTTGACAAATCCATTGTGGCATTGTACAACGCCAAACAATGCTGAAAAACGCGACAATCCCCCGCGAAACCGTCACAACGTGGCAACGCCACAATTTTCGGCGAAAATCTCACAACGCCGGAACAAGATCATCTGATATCACCGAAACGAGGAATGATTGCAATACTATTTCACCTCTAAGAGTATCTCTACTACCCTCCGGACCACATCAGACTTTTGACACAAAACTTTTGATGCCTGTACAAGCTTGAAAAAGCCCAAACAAGGGCAAAAAGACCGAAAGACGACAAGACCACAAACTTAGAGGTCAATCTCACAAGGTCGCTAGTTCGACCCTAAACAAATGCATTTATTTCGAATTTGGGAATAGATAACTGTATCAGGTAAGCACTAGGCCAGTCAAATAGGTGTTCCCTGGCATTTAAAGGATTCACCCTACCTCTGTTCCCATTTTGTGAGTGTAATTTCTAGCCCTTTTCGCCTTGTGAGCTTGTCGGCAAGCTGACAAGGTCCAAAAGGGGACAAGATTTTGGTCAAATGGCTGATGCAGTGTGCAACATATTAGCCATAGACCTTGTCCCACCACCCTACCAGACAGAGTTCAATTTGGGTGAACAATGCCGAAACGCCAAAAAACACGTGAAATGCCGCAACAAAAATGTCAAATGGCTGATGTCACCACCGTCAAGAATGGCGGAATACACGGCGTGACACCGTCCTCATCTGGAGCCGTACTCAAAGTGAACCAAATTGCTCGCGACAACCTCGTCAATGTCCACACTTGTCTCGACATAAAATACGGCAAGCGCGTCCGCTGGTAGTACTCGTCCGCGGTGGCATGCGAACAGTCAAATTCAATGTCTACGCGCTCCAATACTCTACTAACACCAGAGGGTGGCCCAGTCAAGAGAGAAGAGGAGTCCAGCCTCGCTGACGTCGGCTACGATGATATCGGCGGCTGCAGTAAGCAGATATGCCAAATTCGTGAACTGGTCAAGCTGCCTCTCCGTCACCGACAACTGTTCAAGTCCATCGGTATCAAGCCCACTCGCGGTATTCTTCTTCTTCATCAACGGGCCCAGAATCATGAACAAGAAGAAGGCTGGTGAGAGCAATCTGCGGGACGCGTTCGCGGAGTCGAGAAACTCGCCCGCCATCATCTTCATCAACGAGATTGACTCGATTGCACCCAGGCGTGAAAAGGTAAACACGGCTTTTATAACGGCATTCGGTTCCTGATCATATTATCTCTCAGACCAGTGGTGAAGTCGAGCGCCGTGTCGTGTCACAGCTCCTCACTCTCATGGCCTCAAAACCCATTCGAACGTTGTCGTCATGGCCGCCACCAACCGACCAAACTCCATTGACCCTGATCTTCGGTGATTTGGTCGCTTCGATCGCGAGGTCGACATCGGTATTCCTGACCTAACCGGCCGTCTCAAGATTCTTCACATCCACACCAAGAACATGGAGCTTTGCGAGGACGTCGACCTGGAGCCTCAAGACATTTATTCTTTCGACATTGAAGCTTTGTGGCTGCTGGACGATGCTCTTAGGGTGCTGAACTGCTCTGCTCACCATGTGGTTCGGTGAGTCGGAGGCGAACGTTTGTGATGTGTTCGACAAGGCTGCGGGCGGGATCATATTCGACTTCTTGGCCGAGCGCACGCACGGGTACTCTGGTGCCGATCTTACGGAGCCGGGAGATCTGCCAGCGCGCAGCCAAGCCCACGATTTGGGAGAGCAGTGAGATGGACATTCGTCGGACATGGGAGACGATGGCGCGGGATGAGGATGCGGGCGAGGATGCGATGAAGGTTGGGGAGAACGCCGCAGGGAGGAGGAGGACCTCGTCCTTGATATTCCAATGTTTGTCGTTTTGTTCTCGTATACCCTCCAACGTTCACTAACGATGCATACCGGGGAGCGCTTCGAGGAGGTGATGAGGTTCGTGCGTCGTTTGGTCTGGCCTACACCTGGCGCTACTTATGCTTGAAAAGTTTACTACCGCTCTCTCCTCTCTGTAGTGAATACACTGGTTTCTTCTCGATGTATCCTCGATGTATCCTCTACCTGGGCCCTTCAATTGCGTACACAAAGTGTCTCTGGGGTCCCATAGAGTTAGCCGACCCGGGGATCATACATAAAGTGCTCAACGGGGCAAAAGTTGAGCTGTCCAGTCCCTGTTGCCATAGTTATCGGCCCTTTCATCATGCTTGCAGAATTCATCTGTGTCACGGACATTTCACCGCTCTAACACCCGTGCGCGACCATAAACGCGCGGCAAATGGGATGCTGCAGTCTATGCCCTAAAGTAGCGAAGACCTTCACCGCGCCAAATCGGTGTAAGTCTTGAAGAGCATCCGGACTCAATTTTAAAAGAATATTCTGAATCGGTATTGCAACGGACGGGGTTCGAGCATAGTTATTAGTAGCACACTTCATAATTGCCGCGGCTCTTGTGGAGGACGAATGTGCCTGGGATGCGTGAGACAAGGGTGAGAAGCAGAGGAAATGCAACGGACAGACGTTAACTTTCTCGGAGCGAAACTTTGTTGCACAAAATTGCGACACGGGGGTATGACAGAGAGAACGAGAGGAGCCGAATTCGAAGAACCTTGGGAGACCAATTAAAAGTCCAGGCGCGAAAACTTGTAAAAGTTTGAACGCACATGGATTTCACACAGAACTAGAAGCGAGAAAGTCAAGTTTGACGGTAACCATTCAGGTGAATGAGTATTCGCGCGCCCTATCTAACGATGCAGATAGTAAGCTTTCGCAAAAGGGCTAGTTTCCGAAGAGGATGGCTTGCCATCAAAACCGTGGACACATCACTATGATAGCATGGGATCCACGGCGATGATTGCAATCATCAACTCGACCTGTGGCAGGGCAAACGTCACTGCAGTAAATCTGCGTATTCTCAAGCCTACTAGTTTGGCTTAGGATATTGCTCCAGCGAACGTCCTCGTCATGGCGCAGTCGAGTCCACAAACTGGGATTCTGGATCTCCCCACGGAACTCCTCATAACCATTTTCGAGAGCGGGTCGTTCCCCCCCAGCATCCTATATTCCCTCGCTTTTTTGTGTCGCAGACTGCACTTTATCGTCCTCCCGATCTACCTTGCTCTCCATGGATTGACCCCGAGCTCAACTTCGGTTGTGCTACCTCTGCAGGCAGACCGCCGTGATCCATTGACGGCTCTACAGACCGCCTTCTTTACCACCCCGCAGACGGACAATATTACCTGCATTTTCCCTCCATCCAGGAGCATGACACTTTCGACTCTCTTACCTCAATTAAAGCGCCTTGAAAACTACATCTACAACCTGGCTTCGGTGAAGAAGGTCACCCTCCAAATGGATCTGCCAGACAGTGTGTTTCTTTCTACTGGAAACGACGACGCACTTCGCCACTGGTCGGTCGGCCTGGAGTGCCTCCTGAACTGCATCCTCGAGAGGAATTCCCGTTCCCTGACTATGATGTATGGCCGACAGTTCACGAGGACATACGCACATGTCCCATCGACCACCCATCGCTCCTCGATTACACGTCTACTGGCTGACTTCTCTAGACGCTTACGCTCTCATGACACTGAGACACAGGACTTCCGCCGAGTCGAAGAGCAGGGGGACAGTCGAATTGAACTGTCTTTGCCTGCATCATTGAACTCCTCGGCCCAACTCAGCGCACTTGTGATTCAATCCGCCATTCTCATCCTGCCGCCTGCCCTTCGGTGGACACTCGCGGTCCTTCAACACTGCCCTATAACCTCTCTCACGTTGGACTTGCGTGTCCAACTGCAAGACTGGGCGGTGTGGCACACTGTGATCTCCCTCATCATCTCAGCAGCACGCGGGTTGACAACCCTCGTTTTGCTGGAGGTCAATCATATACACGATGATCACATTATTGAATTCATACCCCAATTCGGGCTCCTTCGCCACCTCACCATTATCTCTCAAGGCGTGTGGGAACTGGGATTCATCAACCCTCCTCCTCAGCTCCCGGAGC